AGAATATAAAATTCAAGTTAATAGGAAATATATATCTGAAATTTTAGTAAAATCGAATAATATTAACCCTTAAACTGTGAAAGATAAGCTCAAGCTATGCAATATTGGAATATTCTCTTGAAATAATAGAGAAATATTATTTTGTTTTTAACCGATTTAAATGAAACATAGGAAAAATATATAATGAAGACCGATATTTAGGATGACAACAAAAAAAAAAAAAACGAAATTAACCCTTAAACGTAAATATATTTTTATAATTATATAAAATGTCTGTTATATGTATATGAAAATGATGGGTGATACTAAGAAAAACAGATATAAGATTCGGTTTCAGCATTAAAATCAGTCGAATTGGTTTCAAAAGTTTTTACAAACCTTCAATTCGTTGGCCTGTTTTATAAATATTATGAGTTTAGATTTGGAAAAGATTTTCAGATTTGGCGAAATCTAGTATAAGGTCATCTTTGTATTGCTTATTGTCATTATGTAGGGTTAATCGCATTAAGATATTTTAATGTTAAACTTTAAATTAATTAAGAAAAAGTATAGTCAAGTTTGGTAGGTATATGGGTCAAACATCGACCGATCAGTATAAAATAATTCTATAATTTTCGGCTAAAAAAACCTATTAATAAAGTATTTCCAGTATAGGAATCCTTTAACCAGCTATGGCGAATTCCACTAAATATAAGATAATAATAACCTCCGGTTATGGTTTAACAAAATGTCAGTAAAGTCTCCACGTGACAAAGTGCATTAGATTGGTCTATTAAGTAGGGTAGTTCACAACACCATATTTAGAATTTTTGTAATGGCAATCTAATCGACAAGGTCTACAGATTGCACTCGATCACAGATTGAGTAATTTTTTTGCTGTTCCACAGTGTAATTTACCGTTTAAAGTAATTTTTGTCCTTACGATAAAAAAGGTAAATACGTCAACTACAAGAGACCATACAATTGTCCATATAGGGAAAACAATATATTACAATACTGAACATTTAATAACTTAACAACCCCTAGCCAGCAGCTAACTTAGCATTATAAAACCTCTAGTATGGCACTTTATATGTTAAGTATATCGTGTGTATTTTAAGTAAATTCTATTTAATTTTATGCACCATTTGCAATTTTATTCTTCAAACGATTTGCACAAATTGTCCAACTTAAAATCCATTATACAACATTCATTTAGAATAGCATTGGATTCTTTTTTTATTATTCAACATTTATTTAGTATACAAATAGATTTTTGTTATGCATTTTTTTTTTTTTTTTCAAATAAAATTTTCAATTTAGTTTTTTTCTTAACTAAATCGAATCAATTTTACCACTGTCATTTTTTTCTCATTATTATAATTTGTTGCCTTTATTAATTAATAACAAATGCATTCAGATACAAATGGAAGATTTTATAAGAAATTTTAGTTTGTTGTTCTACGATTTTATGGTGTTTTTTTCCTTTCGTTGTAGTTGTGTTTTTAATTTTCTATGAATTTTCATTCAATCGTATTGTGTGATTTTTTACTCTTTCAATTGACCGTCAAATGAAACTTAGAGACATTTAGTTGTTGTTGCCTTAGTGTGGTGGTTGTTGTTGTTATTGTAGATTGTTTTTTTAGTTCTACATGTTTAACAGAGATGCGGCATGGAAATTACTAAAAGTACCAAAGAAATTGTACTCTTTTCGGTTATAAATGTACCAGGATTTTGATTAAACGAATTGAGAATTACTATAAATAGAGAATTATTATAACCTATGTATCTCTACCATTCATAATATGAAAGAGGCCTGTGGTTTCGTTTTTACTACTACTTCTGCAGTACTACAGTTATTTTATTGACATTCCCTATGTTTTTATATCTGATCAATAATATAATAAACCAATTTATCAAACTCCTTTTCTTTTAAGGTGGGACCAAATCGTTTAGCATATTTTACACATGGTATTACTTCAACAGCTACACATAGACCATACTTCTTATTATTAGGCTCATAACTTCGGCTCACTCCAGGAACTGATATTATTTTAATAATATTGAGTTGGATATACAGCGTCATGCCATGGTAACTCAATTTTTAATGTACAACTTTTCAAGATTTAAATATTGGATTAGGTTAGGTAAGGGTTAGGTTGATAGGAGGATGTATACTACATCAAATCCGAAGAAATACACCTAGGCCACTATCGGGCCTGTTGTGCGCTCCAATTCAAGAAAAAAAAAAATTGTTCACTGAATGTATTATTTTTCCATGTTCAGAAACTCAGTTTCCTGGACGTAATTCCTAAGAATCTTCCAATCGGTGTTGGTTAAGAATGTTATTTCCGGAATAACATCACTTCCATATTGGATTACTTTCTATAAATTTTCATCTGAGAAACAGTCAAGTTCATATTGGATAAGCAGAGAGAGAGAGAAAGAGAAAGATCGCGGGCTAAAAGTTCGTAAATTTAAGAAATACTAGGTAAGTTGCCTTTTCTTTCTGATCATTCATCTGATTAAACATGAATATAAAGCTTTGTCTATATATCTATAATAGGGTGATCGATTATTCGACATTTTCCAAAAACCGGTTTTCGAATAGTTCGAATAGTTGACATTTAAAAAAAACCGGTTGATATTTTTCAAATTCAGAAAAAACCGGTTAACCGGTTTTTCATTATAATTAAAAAATATATATTTTAATTTGAAAAACTTAATGTTTATGTTTAAATTTGATTAATAAAACATGGCCCGAAATGATTTTTAACAGTTTAAAAGATCATAACTTTAGATCTAGTCGTCTGTTTTACATTATTTCTTTAATATAAAAAATTAGGAAAAAAGTGGGACACTTCTGTTAAACATAAGGTACTATGTAATCCTAGCTTATTTTAAAAGCCCTGTATAGGACATTTGCATAGGCATTCCAACACTTCCATAAAATTTCAGCCGTAAATTAATTATTGTAATTGGAATATAATCTTAAGATTGCTAAATTTTATCAAACAGTTATCAATTTTACAAATAAATTTTTTTTAATTAATTAGGAAAATCAAAAAAGTTTAACCAAAAGAGCTGTAGAAAAATGTACTCTAGTTCCTCGACTCGAATATTTTTAAAATTTAGACGGGCTGTATTATTATTTACTTAAAAATTTCATTTAAATAATCTTTGAATACAAAGCAAATAAAAGTATTCGAAACCGGGTTTTAAAAAGTGAAAAAAACCGGGTTATTCGATATTCGAAAAATCAACATTAAGAAAAAACCGACACTGGTAAAGCAGAAAAAACCGGTTTTAAAACCGGTTGAAAAATCGAGTCGATCATCCTAATCTATAACCATCAATTCAGCCTCAGTTTCAATATAGTTTATCGATGTGATCAATCGGTTTTGGTTGAAATTTTTACCTTCCGAACACTCTGTAAGAGCGTTATATAGCCAATATGCATCTTTACACCGAAACTCAGGAAACATAATATTAGTTTCACAACATTCTTAAATGGGCGATTTTTATTCATAATCATCACTCTCTGTGTTACACAACTCTGCTCAGCTACTGACGCGTCAAAAGTTGAAAGTTGTTGAACTTTTCGCATCAGACGCATTAAAAACTAACGTATGTAACTTGTTAAATGGCAATATAATATTTCAACTTTTTTGACAGAAGTCTAGCACGCGTTGTGTCGTATAACTTTTTAAAGTTTTAAAGTACTAAGCTAATTTTCCGCTAGACCATAGACTATATACTAGTCTATAGGTTATACTATAAACTGTATTATAAACTAGACTATAGACTAGACCATAGACTAGACTAAACTAGAGACTATATTATACTATAAACGACGCAATTAACTTAACTATAGAATAGATTATGGATTAGATTATAGACTAGACTATAGATTATACTATAGACCAGACTATAGATTATACTATAGACCAGACTATGTATTTTATTGTAAACTAAACTATATATACTAGATTATATACTGGTCTATTGATTAGAAGTTGAACTATTTAGTTCTGAAAAAAAGACTAAAATACTGAATTTTCCATACCTGGAGCATACTTCATGGTAAGACCAATATTTCTCTGTGATACAAATAAATCTGAGAATATCGAAATTAATTGAAAATGATCGGAAAATTTGTCTTAGTTTCAAAATTTTTAAAAATAAATGAAATAAATCTTTAAAATTAACTATCTTAAATAGAAAGTAAAAAAACCTTCCTCAATCGAAATTTATTACACCTTTTTTTAAATATAAAATCTTTTGGAATACATTTATCGAAAAAAAAATGTACTTTTTAAAACCACTTGTCAGTTATCTTAAACGAATCACTTAAAAATGTACTTTATTAGTTTTAATTGTACCCACAAAAAAGTACTATTTCTCCTTATCAATTTCTTTCATCACTGATATATAGACATAAAATTAAAATTGGGGTCTGTCCTCTCGCATCATCCCATTTTTTAAAGGCAGAGGTGGAGAACAAGAAAAAAAAATAATAAAACAGAAAAAAGTTTTAAAAACAAACAAACGAACACAGCAAATCATGATGCAATTCAATAAAAATGTTGTGTTTTTGTATTTGAATTTGGTTTTTTTATGCTTTTTTTAAACGAAACCTTTTGTTGTTGTTTTTATTTCAATTATTTCTGATAAATTACATGTGATTTTCAATCATGTTTAACACTTTTTTTGTTTTAATTTCTTTTTAGAGCAAATGCGTCATATTTTTCACACTCTTTTATTTTATTTTATTTGTTTTTTTTTTTTTTTTTTTTGTATTTCAATTCTTCTTCTTGTACTTAAAAAAAGATTTCGCAATCGGGGTTTTTCACTTTTTTATAATTCTTGCCCATTTAACAATTATTCAATTTCCTTTCTTTTTTTTTCCTTACTCAAAGTTCACTTTCTTGAGATGTATTTCAATTGGTAATTGTTTTTCAATTTTAATTGACTTTTATTTAGTTTGGTGTTTTACTTTCTTGTTTTTAACGAAAACCTACCTGCTAACACACACGCTCGTTTATTTTAGATTTCTTTTTTAATTTTCTTTAAAAGGTTTATTTTTTCGATTCTCTTCTTTGCGTGAACACAACAATAAAAAAGATACAACGAAACGTAACCAGTCGAAAAAAAAAAACATTCATTCAATCCACTATCAAATTTTTTATATTATTTGTTAAAATTTTGTTTTAATTTTCTTGAGCAAATAACGAACGAAAAACGAAAACTACCCGCTGTAGAAAAAAGCGCACTTGTATACGACACGGGTATCTGTGGGATACAAGATACTTTGGTGAGAGTGTTAAAACTAAACTGTGCTCCGAACCAACCGAACAGATGCGTTCATTGTGTTATGTTGCAGGGATGGTTAATATAGTACAATTATACTTTTTGTGGCACATAATAGAAATGGTTATGCATTTTTACATTTTTTTGCCATAATTATAAATTAACTTTAAATATTTTATTAATTTAATATTAAGCTTTGAAAATGAATATAATTTTTATGTATAAATATCAACAAGGACCCAAGAAATAATTGCTGAAAATTGTTTTATAGAAACCTTTAAAAGGTTTTATGTAAATATCTACTTTATAAATTCACATTAATTTCACAAATATAGTTTAAAAGCTTGCTACCGAAAGTTTAAAAACCATCCATTTTGTTTCGTTACGAAATTTATTAAATCCTTTATCCATCCCTGATTATAAGCGTCAATTTAGTTATTTTCTCCCCAAATCTAGCGATTTTAATAGTAGCGATTTCATCAATACTGTTGCCAGATTGGCTAATTTGTGATTATAGACTTTTCGAAAAACAATTTGAATTATGCTTTTAAACTTTAATTTATTAAAAATTTTGTTAATTTTTAATAAATTTAATTAAAAAATTAATGGAAGTTTTATGAATATTATAAATACCTTTTGTACGATTCTTTTGGAAAAAATTAGAGAATTCTAAAATAAAATTTTATATGGACAAATCTTGATGTAGAATATACACCGATCAGGGATTTAATGGCGGCTTGACTATCACTATAGATTCTAAGCCAATTTGATTTCCTTTTTATCGCCGAAATTTCAGCTTGTAAGATAGTGCACTCATCATTGAAGCTAAAGGGGATTTTGGTTCCAAATTCTTCAATGAAGATGCCTCCGCCAACACCCTTGCTTGTTTTTGATCCATCAGTGAAATCATGAAGGCCAACACCATTTAAAGGTGGGGCTTCAGAATAATCAGTGATTAAACTCGTAATGAACGGTTCCGGAATACAATAGTCAGTGAAAAAGTGTAGATCTGGGAGGAGATCTACAATCTTTGCATGACCCCTAGAACCAAAGTTCCATTTGTTTGAAGTACTCAATCTGGCTGCAGTGTTTATTGCCAGTTGTCTGGCAAGAAGATCTACAGGTAGCCAGTTTAGTAAAGCGAACAACGCTTTACTGGGCGTAGTTCTAAGAACACCAGTTATGAGAAGAGTTGATTATCTCATAACTTTCGTGAGAACATTGGATAATTTGTCAAGTGCATACCACCAGACAATAAGATCATACATGATTATCGGTTTAATTACCGCTTGGCCAATGTTGTGAAATGAAGAAATACCCCAAAACAAAACTTTTTTTTCCTTTGGGGCTAATTTTCATTCCTAAATTTTGTAAAATACGTGAATATTAAAATATTAAAAAGGGACCTAAAAAACCATATAATAATTAAGGATGATCTTTCATTATTACTATTTATTAATATTTTATCAAAAATCATATATTTTATATGTACATTAAATACAACAAATATTATTACATAAAATATTTTTTTATTAAATCGCGCGATTTTATAAAAAATATTTTATGTAATAATATTTGTTGTATTTTCATAAAATGTTAATTTTGAACATTCTTGAAATATTTTTTGTAAAATTGCGCGATTTTACAAAAAAATATTTCAAGAATGTTCAAAATCAACAAACATTTTATGAAAATACAACAAAAATTATTAAATATGAAATTTTATAAATATATTAGCATATATTTGAGGTGGTTTCATAGTGTCCATGGACGTTATGACAATTTTTAAAAGTGTTATAATGTCCATTGACATTGTATCACTTTTAAAACAGAACTGTATTTGAAAATTTGTAAAGAATTTAAGAAAGGGACACTCTTACCCCCAAAGGAATTTATCCTAAATTTGGTGTATGTTGCATTTTGGTTTCCATTTAAAAAGTGTTCTGGATAGCCGGCCTTCGGCCGGGCGCAGGGGTTTTAAACTCTAGGGTATTTCGAATACCGGCTTCGCTAAATTAAGCCTTCTTTTGATAAATGCATATGAGCAATGGACATTGCTCATATGCATTGTGACACTTTTGAAATTGTTATAACGTCCATGGACACTAGACTCAATTTAGTGAGTCATAAAGCCCATGGATAATATGACACTGGACTTTATGACACGCCTATATTTGAATTAAAATTAAATGGGGTGAAATTTCATTTACGTTTTTGGGGTAATTGTTCATTACGAAAAATTAACCCAATATTTGTGGCCACTTTTCATTTCAACCTTAGGGAGATTTTTCATTAATTTTGGGGTGATTTTTCTTAAAAAATGTTAGGGTTATACTTCATAATGAATTTTGACCCCAATATTGGGGCAATTTTTCGTTTTATATTTTGGGGCCATTTTACCTGGGGCCATAATTTGCAGCGCCATTTTACGCTATCCGTCAGCGTGAAAACATCGACATTTAGACGGGAAGTGAGAATTGAGGAATTTTATATTTGTACGAAAACAATACAAGTACCGTTTTCCCAGGAATTACACTAAGGCCACAATTAACGCTCCATGAGCTAATAATTCTTAGCGAGTCTTCCAAAATATAAGACAGAATCTCAAGATAAGTGCCAGCTACCGCTACCGCAACATCATCAGCGTAAGCAACCGTTTTAAAACCTAGTTCATCAAGTCTAACTAGGAATCGGTTAATACCCATATTCCACTGGAGAGGGAATAAAACTCCTCCTTAAGGAGTGCCCCGTATGGCTCTTTTAGAGATTGTAGTATCCCCCTGTGAGGATTTGACCTTTATGTAGGCATGTTGAGAGGTTGAGAGAAGAGATTTGTCAGCCGATATTCTAATATGTATATTTAGTATTCTCTCCAAAGTTTTTAGCAGAAATGACGCTAGACTGATAGGTCTGAAGTCTTTTACCTTAATATGAGATGACTTACCCCTCATTGGAATAAATATCACATTACACTTGGTCCACTGAGTTGGGATGTAGGACCAAGACAAGCAGGTTTTGTAAATAGTACTTAGCCGGGGAATGATCGGATCTACATTATTTTGTAGATCCGCAGGAATTCTGCCATGTGGGCCAGGTGATTTATAGGTATCAAAGCTCCTAACTGCCCAGCGGATGATATCGTCATCTTTCATAACATTAGCAAAGTAGGTCAGCTTCGTGTTGATCTTGTATCGTTGATCCACCATTTTAGATACAACCGGCGAAGTGAGTATTCGGGAGAAGTTCAAGTGTCTCCCGACTACTTGCAGCTTGGGACAGAAGGGGATTTAGACAAGAATTCTCGAAGGCGACTCGTTTCTGAGGAGCTTTCTATAGTACTACAGAAATTTCTCCATGGTTTTTAAATTCATTAACTTTTGACTTATAAATTGACCAGATTCTTGATCTCTTTGCCTCGTTAAATAACTTATGACAGACACATCCTACGATTTTTTACTATTTCGGGATCCCACCTTTTGATAGTTTACATGCTCTCCTTGTGGCTTTATTATATCAGGGCAAAATACTCGTTATAAATGAGATCAATGAAAACCAAAATCTCCGCTGAATCCGAATAATTTCGAGATATGATTGCTTCAAAGTTTAGGTTACATTCGCAATTCAGCTCTGTGTGGATAAAGACCTTCTCGCGTTATTACCATTATCGTTGAAGGGTAATCAGGTCATCTGTGTTTTACTCTCGCATTGGTGAAATGCGTGGCATCGCTTAACTGTACCGCGTTACGGTTCTTCGAAGTTACATACTTTGATACATGGTAAAGTATAAAAAAAAACTGATTTAAGATTTTGGTGGAGACCAGTAAACTCAGGAGCAGAATTCGAAGGTATAGTCGGATTGGCAGTTCTTGGACGAGGCAATTTTATAAATAAAGGTTCTTAGTGCTTTTATATCGTCTCAAACATGGCCAGATTTATTAAACAATTTAGGACAGAATATCTCGAAAACCTGATGTGATAGTGAAATTCTAAGAGAAGATTTATATAGACATGTATTCTTTGGATACCACTAAATCCTTTCAAGGTTTTAGTGGTTACAAATTTTGAACCTTACTAACAAACTAACGGAGAAATTTAAGTAAAAACAGTGCAAAAGTAGCTTCTTTCAATTTTTAATAACAAATCCTAAAGAAATTCTTTATTAAATTGGTTTCACAATCCGTTTGGAGAGAATTTTGTTAGGAATTCTATTGTAGCCTCAAATAAACATATGCCATTCTTATTTTAACAGGTGTTTTATTTAAAAACTGCTAATTTATATTATTTGCCATAATGACAGTCGTTTTTGTTAAAATAAAAAAAATAAAATTATATGAAATTGCGTTGTATGTTTTTTACTGATTTATTTTCAATTTTATTGAATTTATTTTATTATATTTCTTTTGTTGTATTTAACTTATTTAATAATATTTACTAAATTTTCTTGTTTTGTTAAAAAAAAAAATATATGTAAGTTCATCATTAAATTAAAAATAGTAAGGTTTTGCTAATTTTGGTTTCAAATACACATGAGAACAAAAAAAAATATATATTTAATTTAAATACAAATAAAAAAAAAACACTTTTAAAGCTGCTGTGGGAGAGTTTAGTAAAATTTCAACAATAATGAAAAAAGGAGTAATTTGATTTAAAGAATTTTAAATTTAAAGATTGTAAGAAAGAGAGAGGCAATTTTTGTTATTTGTTTTCATTGATTTTTCTAAATTTTTGTTGCTGTTGTTGCTTTTGTATGATGTTTTTTTGTTTTGTTTGCCTAAAATTTAATGGGGAAAAAACGAAATTCTTATGATGGTAAACCCAAAGTCTTACGGACTAAACGTTTGGCGATTTGATTGAATTCTTCACGTTTTTCACGCCACATTATAGCTGCGTCAACATTAGCACCGGATTCATCGTTGGGTTCTAAAAATAGAAAGATGTTTTTGTTATTATTAGCAATTTTAGTACATATGTACATATATGTATGTAGATATATCTTCTTAAATATTCGATATTGTCATATTTGTTTATAAATGTTAGGATCCCAACGAGAAGAGCTATAGGGATGTTTGCTTAATACTGAACATCATTAACTAAATATCCAAATTTGCAAAAATTTTCTTCTCTGAATATCCAAACTCCTAAAAGAAAGAAGACGCTCTCCGATTCTGTTTTACCGCACATTACCTACTTTTTCTCTTCTTATGTTCAACACCCTCTTCTGATGTCAATTGAAATATACTTAAATGAATAATATATTCATTTAAGAGGACAAAGTACTCCTCAGCCTTATCTAAAACTAACTAATGCATTTGGTCATTTTAAAGAAATAAACCTAAGTGGTCACTAATAAGGTTCCTTTTGTACAAAGTAATAAGAAAAAAGAGGACATTACTACGGTTTGGTACATATTAGTATCATCATAGGACAACTATATATAAATAAATCTAAACTATATATAAAGAAGTCGGCTGATAATTTTGCCCTAAGGTTAGGTCAGGTTAAGAAAGGTTTTGCACCATAGAAAAGGTATACAAACTACAATAAAACAGTAAAGAAAGAGGAATATAGATAAAGAGGATAGATAAATGGATGAGAAATGGTGTATTATCAAGGGATTTCAGCCCAGAAGATTTACCAATACAGTACTCTAAAGAAACAAAGAAATGAGAGAGATTTTCTCCCTCGAAGAAGGTGACCAATTCCTTTCAAAAAAGCTTAGTATGGCCAAATCCCGCAATTAGCTCCAGTTCGTCATGGAATAGAATATAGACTCTAAAAGCAATTTATATTTCACTATCAATATTACATAACATAGCAACAGATCGAAAAAGGTGATTAGCGCCGAAATCCCAAAACATAAATGTTCCAAAAAATAATAAAAATATAATAACGTTAAATATAACAGTGTAAAACTTACCAGCCAACATTGAAACAACACTGAGTAATATCTTTTCTACACTTTGTACAGGACTCCAACGTTCAGCCGATGATTCATAACCCATGGGATCATCACCAGGAGCATGTAATATTGATATGCAAACACGGCCATCAGCGAAAACTAGAAAATCATATAAAAACATAAAAATACCCAAAAATAACTAAATAATGATAGATTACTTACTATTAGGATGAAACATTTCACAAGTAAACTTCATTTTAGGGGGACTTAAGGGATAATCTGGCGGGAATATTAAGCGGGCAGGGAAAACGCCACCCTCAAAACAAGTGCCTTCGGGGCCTCTATAATAAACGACATTTGTTAAGAAATTTCTTACTTTTTTGTATCACCAAACAACAACACAACTTACGCTATTAAAGCCTCCCATTCGAAAAAGTTATCTTCACTAACGGGACCGGCCACAATACCTTCCGGTGGGTCCAAAGTCAATTCTATATGTGATAGCAAAAACATAGATATTTTAAAACAATTAGCATATTTTAAAATTCCCCACAACTTGTGTTGATTATACAATTACGTTTATATTCTGCCATAAGTCTTCTTAAAGCTGAGCCAGCCATTTTTTTCTGTAGTTTACTTCAAGTTTTTCAACCTTACCCCAAGATGTGTTGTGTTTTTTCTTCCTTTCTCCCACTTACCCACAACCGTACACAGCCCACTCTGAGACTTTCCTGTTTTTTTTTTTTCTTTTGCCAACGAAAAAATATTTTCTGACGGCTTTTGTTTACTTTCTATTTTTTTCAAGTGCAATTTTTATGGCTCATGCATAAATTGTATTAAGTTTTTGTAGAATATTTATAGCAATTAATGGTAAATAAAAGATATTTATTATTATTGCAAATTTTTGGCGTGAATTTTGTATGAAAATTTATAATTTTTTAATAGTCCAAAGAAAAAATCCAAATAAAAACGTCACGACACAAAGAAATGAATTATGACCAAAGATCTGCGCCGACAAAAATAAAACAAGGCGGCAACTGACAGCAAAAAATTTTGACGGCGTTCTCAAGTCTACTTTAAGTCGGCTAAGTTTATAGTTGTGTTTAAAAAAATTAAAAAAATATATAAAATTTTGAATAACTAATGCTATTGCTACGAAATTGTATTTGCATTTAAACTAAGTCGGTTTTAACTCCCTTTTAAAAATTCATTTTATAATAAACATTTTATGTTCCGCCATTTTCTTAAAGAACGATAAAATAACAATTGGTATGGCAACACTAAGTAGATTATTTCAGTAGATCTTTCAAGATAGTGACCGTTAAACGATGCCAGAAGTATATAGAAGGTGTTGCTAAAATGTTCTAGAAATATCGAGAATGATGTCCATTGTTGGAAGAACTCAACTTTTTTGACCTATCGTGTAAAAAAGTTGATGAATCGATATTGCAAACAAAACTCGGAAAGTCCAAAAAGGTTGAAAAGTCGAAAAAATCGATAAAGTTCGAAAAGAATCAAAAAATTCGATATTAAAAAATGTCGAAAAGTCGACTTTTTAAAAAACAATAATAGAAAAGTTGACAACACATGACAGGGTGTTTCAGTCTGTGTGTTTGTTATTGAAAAGATAAATGGGTGACTATAAACCGTATATTTAAGTTGTGGTTTAAATTTGTAGTGAAATTATTCGTTTAAACAACATTTATTATAAACAATTAGTGATGAGATTAAAAAAGTTAAATGAATTTAATAGTTTTTGAATTGATTTACATAGTAGTGCATATCTACCAAAGTGGTGTAGAGTTAACGTAGACTTACGATGATAAATGATATTGTATAATGGGGTGAAAATAAAAGCTCTTAGAGTTAATTCTGCCGAAATAGAAATTGTACCCTTTATGAGTTATCGTCTACTATACATACAAGTATTCCATTGGAATGAATTGAGATAAGTAATCAGATACGGTGAATTGGATTTACTCTTTGTTTGTCAAACATATTCTGACTTATAGATGCATTGTCTGGAGGGCCTTGAGAACGGATATGCAAGTCCTAAGTAGTGCCATTCTACTCATTAGTAGCTAGAAACCGATTAGAGAATATTGGGTTGGATGTGATAAACTCTTCGAAGGCAGTATTTATCGACAGGAAATAAAAAGGTTATTCAAAGTCCCTATAGAATGTGGTATTACTGGATCATATCGATCTCAGGTCTGTTGTGACAATTTACATATGTATGCCAATGGGATCGCTGTAATCATAGCGATCGTGTAAGATTTGCGTGTATGTTGTGCAAGGATATTGAGGATCTAGAAGAGATTGATTCTAAGTCGATATTTTGGCAAGACGATGGGGAAGTCCTTTTAATTCTATAGCACGGTTTTGTTCAACCACTGTGTTTAATTTATAATACTTAAATTTCACAAGAAAATAAACCACAAAAACAACAATAATATATTTTATAATTGTTTTTACCAATATTTTTTAAATATATGTACATATTGTAATTAACGCCCAGAGAACAAAAATATGACAACAATGGGATAACTAGTAGTTAACGTACAATATTATAAATACTTATATATACTTCGTTACTGCGGCTATAGAGTACAACATTAAATTGATTATCAATGAACATTTATCATACACAAAAATATAAATTTAAAACAAAACAAGTAAGAGTTACATATATTCGGCTATGCCGAATCTTATATACCCACCATCAAACCTCGTTCGACTCGAATGAAACTTACTTATGTCGAATTTAATCTATATACTCGTATTTTTAGGCCAGTTATAAGCGTTAAAGTAATTTTCTGAAGGGGACCTTATATAGGGGGGTAGGGTCAATTATGGGTCGATTCTCATAAAATTTGGTAGATAGAATTTGGTTCGTATTAAATTTATTTGTGTCGAATTTCATCGCTACACTCGTTTTTTTAAGCCATTTTCTGAGGGGGACCTTATATGGGGGGTAGGGTCAATCATGGACCGATCAACATAACTTTTTTTAGATAGATTTTGACTCGTATGAAACTTACTTATGTCGAATTTCATCTATATACTAGTATTTTTAAGCCAGTAATGAGCGTTAAAGTCATTTTCTGAAGGGGACCTTATATGGGTGGTAGGGTCAATTATGGACCGATCCTCATAGCATAGTGATTTTGGATCACTTATGTCGAATTTCATCGCTATATTCGTATTTTTAAACAAGTTATGGCTGTTAAAGCTGCCTTTCGAGGCGCCACTTGTATGGGGGCTATCCGAAAACGTGGACCGATATTGCCCATTTTCAATACCAAACAAACCTTACCTAAATATTTATGTGAAATTTCAACACTCTAGCTCTTTCCATTCGGACTCTATCGTGCTTTCAACAAACAGACGGACGGACAGACATGGCTTGATCGTCTTAGAATTTAATGAGGACCCAGAATATATATACTTTTGTGGGTCTATGACCAATAATTCGATGTGTTACAAACGGAATGACAAAATCAATATACCCCCCATCTTTTTTGATGGTGGGTATAAAAAGATATAAAAAAACACTGATATGAAAGTCCTGAAATAAAACAGGAACAAGTATTAAATGTACGGACAATGACAACAGGACTTACATACGTATTGTTGGCAATAGCAACAGGGCCGTTGAAAATGTTCTTAAAACCACAGTAACAAACAGATGGGACACGGCATGACACGAAATTTACGAATGAAAAAAATATTTTTTATATTCCCAATTTTCAACAGAGATGAGACTTTTTGTTTTGGTACAAATATCGGGGAAATTATATTCGCATCGTTTATTCATGGAAAAGAAAAAAAGGATATTTTGGATATTTAATAAAAATTGTGGCTTTAGTTGTCAAATTTTACAGTTCTGTCGTGCCTCCCCTTCTATTCATTTGAGTTTTTCAGACTTTATAAAGTCTTCAATAGAAGGTACCGATTATCCCCTAGCAACTTGGTTACCATATGATGCAGTAAAACGGTCATAGATATAAACTTCTCAGCTAATACATACATATGTATTTCTATTATTATCTTCTTAAAATTACGTCACTTTAAAAAGAAGTGTAACATCTTCAAGGAAACAGATAAATATATGAAATGTTAGTTTCACATTGTCCCCGCAAATAGTACCCTTTTCAATATGTCTCTAACATCTCTAAAATATTTGTCCATTCAAATTTGTACTTGTCCCCATCCGAATGTTTTTGTAATCACAATACGATTAAATGATTTGTAAGTTGTATTTGAATAAACCAAAAATATGGAAATACAAACACACATTTGTGCAGTATAATTACACAAATATTATAGAGATGTACGAAAAAAAAATAAACAAACAAATAAAAACACATGATATTTATAATTTTTTTTTGTTAAATGTTGTTGATAAAACCGGAATAAATAAAAATACAAAAATACAGATCCAGGCGTGCAAAACCGCCTTGTTAAACTACAGACACAGATTTTAGCAATATCCGTTAAATAAGTGTTGTCAATGTGTTAAAACAATACAGGCGATTTTCCCAATCATTTGTAGATAAATTGGTGTCTTTACTAAATTTAACTATTAGAACTGGCAATACTGCTGTTGATTTTATTTACAAAATTGGTTAAAGTCTGTGCTTAAATGAGAACGTTTGCATTTTATGTTTGGCAGTATCGTTTTTTCGGATCGGTTCAAAGACCTTAAATTATGATTTCTTGAAAGTTTTAAATAAAGTTTGTATAATAGAAATCCTATGGAAGATGCTAAAACGGATCTTATTTCTGATTTTTTTTCAGATCGATATTGAGAGAAAATTTTAAGAATGAAAAAGTAATATTTACGTACATATATTATTGACAACATTGATCAAATTTAATACCAACCAAACTCCACTATCAATAAATAAACTTCGGATTTCCGTTTTCAAAGAACCGGCGGATACTCTCCCATTGTATTGCGATGGTGTCTGTGCAACACAATTTTTGTTATTATTATCATGCAATATAATAAATATGTTTAAAGCGTGCCAATATTTGAGTACTTAAATATATACATACATAATATGAATGTGTGTGTATAGAATGTGGCATCCACACATTTATGATAAAGCATCAGTTGCACCTGTACATGGAATTGCATCGTTATAATAATCGTAATAATAAAATTGCATTTTATTTGTTGTAAACGATATCTTGTTGCCTGTCATGGCAACGTACTAAATACACACATACACACACTTTTAAAATCATATACAAATGTACAATATTTAATATAACGGACCCGTTAAACGGATGTCCCATTGCTGTGAAGCTACATGAGTGGTTTATACATTTTTTTTGGAGGTAAGATAAAGGAGTCAGTTTTTTCTGTATTTTGAATGTCAAATCAAATTAACACAATTTTATATAAAAACATGAAATCCTTCGGATCTTCGAAATACATATTTGTTATATGCAATAGAGTGGTGCAGGACTTAAGGGATCAAAACTTTCTTAATTCTCTTTGAAATCTTAGAGATTTGTAATTTAGAAGGAAATACACTTAGGTCTTCATCAGGCTTATTTGAACTCCTTTACCAGTGTCTAGTTTGAATCGAACCCATGTTGAAAAGACTTGAATAGTAACTAATAGTGGCAAACTAACTAACTAACTAACTACTAACTAACTAACTAACTACTACTAACTACTAACTAACTAACTAACTAACTAACTAACTAACTAACTAACTAACTAACTAACTAACTAACTAACTAACTAACTAACTACTAACTAACTACTAACTAACTAACTAACTAACTAACTAACTAACTAACTACTAACTAACTAACGAACTAACTACTAACTAACTAACTAACTAACTAACTAACTACTACTAACTAACTAACTAACTAACTAACTAACTAACTAACTAACTAACTAACTAACTAACTAACTAACTACTAACTAACTAACTAACTAACTAACTAACTAACTAACTACTAACTAACTAACTAACTAACTACTAACTACTAACT